AGCCGATCAAAATCAGGATCTTAGGGGTGGTGGATGAAATTGGATACAATTGAAATGCTCTGCTTGAATATGAAAATTAAAGGAAGAGATCTGTGTTGGTTTAACATACGAACATTTAAAATCCTGTTGAAGGTATAAAGGAGAAATTTCATTTTCTGATGAACAGGCACCACAGATGAATGGGAACACTTATGTTACTCTAATTTAAACCATTCAAAAAAATAAAAGCTTTTAAGTTTTGAATGTTGGGCTTTAAAGCCAGTGAGTGAGATCAGAACGTACATAAGGTTAACTCAGTCTGTTGCTCCTGATGCCAAAACAGTTATGCAAGCAGCTCAAAGAAGTTAGAAGTTCTCTCTCAATCCCTTTATGCTGACCTCAATTCAAACTGATTTTTTATTTTAAATGAATTTCAACAGGATTGTACCTTATAGTGGTGATTACGAATGGCAAATATATTATCAGAAAGCATTCTCTATAATATAACGTGTTATTTTCAGTGCTCTGTGTGACAAAGAGACAACTTAATGTTTGTTTATGTGAAAAGCCACTTAAAATTCCAAACAGTCTGAGGACAGACTGTGATCTTCCTCATCACTTAATTGTCTTAATTCTAGAATTGTCCTCAAGAGGACTGAGGATCAGAATCTGTACAGGATACAAAGAGCTATGTTTTATTTTCAGTGTATTTTTTATTTTGTTCTACATAAACTCATAGCTTTTTGATAGTATAGAGCTGAAAACAGCGATGTGTAGTGAATTTTATCTTCAGGATGCTGTATGTTTTTCTATATATAAGGGTTTTTCAAGAATAAAATGTCTGCACTTGGTTAAATAAGATTGTCCTAGTCATGTGGATAATTAACATGGAAGACGTAGTCTGCCCAGAAGGTGTGAAGTCTTGCAGCATAGAAAACTAATGGTATCCTGAGCTACTCTAGGGAAAGTGTTGCCAGCAGCCTGAAGGAGGTGATTTTTTCCCCTCTGCTCAGCACTGAAACAACTGGAGAGCTCTGTCCAGTGTTGGGCTTCACAGTACAAGAGACGTTTTTGCCACTGAAGAGTCTAGTGAAGGGTCCCAAAGATGCTGAAGGGACAGGAGCTTCTCTCCTATGAGGAGACAGAGAGCTGGGACCTCTCAGCTGAGCCTGGAGACTCACGTGAATCTTACTCAATGTCTGTCCATCTCTGAAGGGAGGATGCAATGAAGATGGAGCCAGGCTCTTGTCAGTGTTGCCTAGTCCAGGACAAGAGACAAGGGACACAAACTGGAACTCAGAATGTTTTCTCTGAACAACAGAAAATCTTTTTAATGGTGAGGGTGGCCGAGCCACTGAAACAGGTTACTGAAGGGGGTTGTGGATTCTCCCTCACTGGAGATTTAAAGGCATCTGGACGTGGCGATGAACAAGTAGCTCTGGGTGGCCCTGCTGGTGAAGGGAGGTTGGACAAGTAATTCCCTTGAAACCTCAGCTATTCTGTGATTCTTTGGTTCAAGTACAGAATGGCATTTTTTCACAATTTAATTTGAAAAATGTATTTTCCTCTGTCTGTTGTGAATGGACATTACATGTCTATTCAATGCAATAAAGACATAATCTAGCAAAGTTAGTTTATTATTTTCATAGAAGTTTCTGATAAATTTCTGATAATCGTTATTCTAGAACAGAAAAACATAGTCTGAAACAAGTGAAGGCTTCATATAATATATGAAACCCTAATACTTTGATTTTGAAAGACGAGGTGGATCTACTTGCCAGTTTCTCTCTTCTTACATCAGAAATGGCAAATGAGAAAATGAAGTTTACTAAGTGTTATAGTAAAAAACAAAGCCTTTTTATTTCTTAATATATTTTTAAAAGATGGAAAAATTTTATAAGATATGCTCTCCATTTTATCTTTCTTTTTTCCATTTACCCATTTTAACTGGTGTTTTTCTATTGAAATAATTCTGAATTTCTTTTTAAATCCAAATTCAGTAGTAAATCAATGCTAACTGTTGGTTTTGGCATACTTTGACCTGGAGACCTGTTTTGATTTGATTGTTGTAACAACCTTTTAACATCTGCCTGCAGTTTGTTTTACATGAAAGTACGTACTTAAAATTGAAATACTATTCTTGCGTAAATAATGTAAAGACTTGGGAGAAGCATTTGAAATTATACAGTGGTTAGTGGGAACTATTTATTGAGCATCGGATCAATGTCTTCCCAGTAGAACTGAGCTCAGGAAAACCAATGCATTTAAAAGTTTTTATTCTGCAAATCACATTTCAGAGGCTTTTTCTCATACGGTGTGAAAGCATTTTCATTCTCTGAGTTAATGAAGTGATTCCTAGTTAATTATTCAAAAGTAACTACTTTGTGCAGTCTTTTAAATTGCGTTCCAGGTGCCATAACCTGCAGGTTTCAGCAAACAGTACATTTAGATTCACCACAGTACAAAATTTTAACAGCTAGCAGCTTCTGCGAAGGATTGTCAAGAATGGTCTTCAAGGAAACTAGTTTTGGCATATAGATTTTCAGCTGAAACAGTACAGGGAAGGAAGTGCTACTTGCCAGCTCTCATCACCATATGTTTTATTTTAATGTAATGTACAAAGAGTACAGAGACAGCAGCTGCTCTAGAGGGAGGTGGCCACTTGTTAGCAGATTTTGAAACCTTTCTGAAATGTCTGTTCATTTTCTTTTCACTGGTATTTTTTCCCTATGCTTACGTATTAGCATTCAGAAGATGATCACTAAAAGTAGTCTATTTTTAGACCACTGTGAGTTGAGGGAAGTGTGATCTACTCTATGAACAAACAAAACCAAATTTTGCAAGGACTGTAGTTTGCATACTGTGAAATGTAGGTAGACTTTTATTTTCTCAGTATCCATTCACAGCTACTTATGATGAAATCGTATGTATAAACAAACTATTTTCTAGGATTCTGTGTTTGTGTTGGAAAGAAATCTGTATGTATTTAAATGGTTTCCAGTGTGGATTTCCTTGCTTGCTATGTCCACGTTTATGTCAGTGTTGAGATTCACTGTCTTTAGTGGCAGAGAAAATCAACATTAATAGGGATTTAAAGCTAAAATGGAATGAGTTTGATAAAATGTATGCAGAGAAATCAGCCCTCCCTAACACTGCTACTCATGCAGTGAAGTTGATTAAATCCACTGTTTTGAATAACCTGAAGTTCTTAGCATGTTTTGAGAACTGTGTGCCTGCAATGTTGTGAAAATTAACCTTATTTATTCAAGTGAACCAGCATTTTGAAGAGTAATTTGTTGATTCCTACCTGAAATTTTTCTGTCTGCTGAATTCAACAATCCTTTGAAATGCATGTAACTGTATGTCACTGGGTCTTAAGGCAGGAATTCTTAAGTGAATTTGAGAATCCAAAGGGAAGTTGCATCACACTGTTACGGGATTGTAGGAGGGCATGGTTTTACAGTATGTAATAAAACTAATGTACCATATTAGCATATTTTTAGGTGTGTTTTACTTTGACTATGGGGCGTAATGCTAAAATGTCATAGTAATACAAATCTGACCCATGTGAGGTCATGGTTCATATCAAATCTAGCAGTGTTACAATTTGTTTCTGAAAGGATAAATTTTTCTGGAACTGATTTTTTTTATTCTGCACTGTTCACCTTAGAAACATCTCTCTCTGTTAAGGAAATTATATTAATTTGTCACCAGGTATATGCACCTTGTCTGGCGATAGAAATGTAGTTCTTAGGTAAATCTGGTCAAGTTTTTTTGTCCCCCCATATTGGTCTGTTATTATCTATCAGTCATTCATTTTCAAACTAGCTGCAAAAGTGTTTCTCTGGGATATTTACTAATAATTCCCTAAAGTTGTCCTTTCTGCTCTTTGTGACAGAACTTGTTGCAAGAATTTAAAGAATTTAAATCCAATTTGCAATTTGCAAATTTGCAATTTGCAATTTGAGTTTATCATTCCCTGAGTTATTCTTCATCCCACAGATATTTCACAAGTAGACTGGATTTAAAAGTCTACGCTGAGAACAGGGATGTCATTCTGAATACAGTCACTCATCTCTGATTCTGCAAAACGTGAGGGAAATGTTTAAGTCACACAGGAACTGATGGCTTAGGCTTATCAAATGCAAATGCTTTAAATGGTGTGATACTTTGCAAATTAAAATTTTGAAAGAACTTTTTCTTCTTTTGGGTCTCATAGCTTAAGTAAACACTTTTCTAATTCTATTGAGTAGAGGAAAATTTAAGTTATCAGCAGTCTAGAGCTCACATGAGTCCCTTAAGTCTATCTGGAACCTTTGTAACACAGGAACTTTTTATTTGGAGATATTTACCCCCCCTATGAAAGTTCTATGTGAAATATGTTTGTTTAATAGGACAGTGCAGCCCTCCTCATGCTTGTAAGTACTGAGAAACATGAGGAGTTACAGAATGATTAACATACTTTTTCTTTTTTTTTTTTTAACATATGAAGCATTTGCTGTCTGAAGCAGCTGACTAATGTATTCTAGAAACAGGTGCTTCTAGAAGTAGAATTATTGTTCAGCAGGTTCTTGAAAATGCCATTTTCATGGAGATTTACTATTATGATTAGATGTAGATTTACTTTTTTATTAAGAACTGGCTGCTAGAACAAAAGGCTGTCTTTCTTTAATTCACCATTAAAACCAACAAAAACAATTCTCTTCAAATGAGAACAGCAAATATTCTGTTTGCAGTAAATAAAAATCAATTACGTTGGTCCTAAAGTAAGTAATTACATTCTTAATGATATGCTATCAGAAACTCTTCAGCTGTCCATGGCTGACTTAGAAGACATGTGAGATTGAATGTATTTGGGTAGTTTTTAAAAATGGGAAGGGACGTGACTGCATATTTAAAATTCAGATTTTAAATTGTCCATTGTAACTTCGTTTTAATTTTGTTTTTTTTGTTTTAATTGGGCAGAAACATTGTGTACAGCAAAGTTATAGGAACTAATATCTAATTTTTTCTTCCTTCAGCCACCAGAAAAGGAGGGCGGCCTGCCTCGGCAGGTGGGCAATAAGACAGAATGCGGTCTCTTGGGCTTTGTCCTGGATTTGAAGCAGGATTATGAGCCTGTTCGGAGCCTCATCCCTGAGGAGAAACTTTATAAAGTTTACACATTCAACTCTGTGAGAAAGTCAATGAGCACTGTCATTAAAATGCCAGATGGTAGCTTCCGAATGTACAGCAAAGGAGCTTCTGAAATTGTTCTGAAGAAGTAAGTTCAATGGATTTCTTGTTGTGTTTTTCCAAAATCTTAATGATGCAGAACTTTCTGATGCTAATAAGACATTCCTGGCAATTCTGGTATTTGGAATATGCTAATCACAGTAGAAAAATGACACGATTCAGTACAAAGCTGTTACTGTTCTCCTCAATCCCCACCTCCCACTTGCAAAATTGTTTGACATCTTTTTCTTATCATTGGCTAACATAAAATTTGGATCTTTTAATGCATTTTTCATCTATATTCAGTCATTTATGAATAGTTTCTTTCAGTTCATAAACACATTTGGAAAATAAGGATGTTTAAATTTCTTTGCAAGTTCTTAGCTCACTAATTACATGTGGTTTTGGGAAGTAATGGATGAAAGGGTCTGAGAGTCTCCATAAGAAGTTACAGACAAATTCTTCCTGACAATATTTCAGTAGTGAATCTTTTGGTTTAATCTAGAAATTTGCACAAAAAAGAAGATGTTGAAGGAAAAGAGCTAATACATGGAAATACTTTTCAGCAGTTGTATAATATACAATCACACTTTCATTTTTTACTGAAATAAAATAGGTGTTCCAGGATCCTTAATGCAGCTGGTGAGCCTCGTATCTTCAGACCACGTGACCGGGATGAAATGGTGAAGAAAGTGATTGAACCAATGGCCTGTGATGGATTGAGAACTATCTGTGTTGCTTTCCGAGACTTCAGCAGCAGCCCAGAACCTGACTGGGACAATGAAAATGACATTTTATCTGATCTGACTTGCATCTGTGTTGTTGGCATTGAAGATCCAGTAAGACCAGAGGTAAATTAAATTCTTATGTTATAAAGTAGTTCTTAGAGAATGAAACATGAATTGATTTCTAGATTTCTTGTGGTTTTCATCTTTTCTTTTTCTTGTTTTATGTAGCTGTAACAAAGATGATGATAGTGAACTTTAAAAACAAGCTTTAGTTGATTGAGAAAAATAATTAATTTGATAAAAGTTCATTTAAATTTAGCAGCATAGGTCTTTGTGAGCTAGAGGATTTAAATGATTTAAATTTCTCTCATGGAAGAGTATGCTGGAGAATTGTCAGCAGTTTTATTGTGCTCTCAACGTGGTGAGGTGCAAGTAGAAAAAAAACAGGAGTAGTGACTATAATTGCCATGACTGTAATTGTGTGATATCTTCCACAGCTAACACATGTAGTCTCAGAGATCTGTGTTTTACTAAAACATCTGCCACTTTACAGACTGTCCTAAGAATGTAACTTGTGGCTATTCAGGAGAACTTGTAAATAGCATCTTTGGACAAGGAAAATCTTGGACATGCTGTAGATTTTGTGGATGCTGTTCTTAAATGGCTTTAAAAATGGGCCTAAAGCTTAAATTCAAGTTAACTGAGAAAATCAGTATGTGCACAATGGAAGGAGGTGACGTATTATTCCAAATCGGTCTTTAATGAGACTTATCCTGCTACTACACTTGTGAATTATATTACTACAGTAATACCAAAGGCATAAAGGGAGGTAGAAACATTGCTTGTGACAAACATACGTGGTCCTTGATAGTTAATCCTGGCAGTGGGAAATCAGTTCAATTTTACATTGTAGAAACTGACCTACTGAGGGTACACCCCAAAATTTAAAATGTAGAGAATAAAATGCTGGCATCTGCAATATCTTCTTTTGATGTTTTACTCACTGACTCAACCATAAGCATATGGCCATAGCATGCAGCTGCACAATGTGATTTGAGAGCACCAGTCCCAACACCCACTGCAGATGAGAGGGTGTGATTAAATGTTATCCCATTTTGCTTCAGGAAATTAATTCTTTGATGGTGCAGTTATTTCAGTAGATGATTAATGACTGTGGGTTTGCTCTGGAATAGGATCACTGAATGGTAACTGAAATTTCCCTACACAAAAAGAGTATGTTCTGATTCTGCATAAAGTACCTTGGTTCCAATATTGGTCTTTTTTGCTGTCTTGTTATTCTTCTTCTTTTTTTTTTAATTTTTTAAATAACATCTAAATCTTTGTGTTTGATCCACTGACAAATGGTGGCAATGTTAAGACATGCAAGGAAAATTATTTCCCTAAGTCAGTTTTAAATTAGGCCTTTATACACTTTTGACTGCTGTAACTTTGAAAAATAAGTGAAGGAAACTAGCATGGTATAATTACACCTACAGGCACCAATTGCATAACTGCACTTTGAATGATCATGGATATGTTTGACTTTTTTTCAGTATCGAGAAATGTAATCATATCCAGTAAGTCTTGGCTAAGTGAAAACAATGATAAAACCTTTACCTCTGCAGTCACTGGATAAACAGCTTTCACTTTAACTGTCATCAGATGGTGTCTTGCTGCTAATCCATCTGTCCCTACACTTCACACTGCATCTTGAAAACTATTTTAAAATAATATTAAAATATTCTTTCTGCATGGATCCCACTCCTAATGCTCTAACTAGAATACAGATAAGCTCAGGAAGTTTGTAAAGTGTCAGTGACCAATGGAACTATGAACCAGTTCTCTTCACCTCCAAAACTGACTAATGATACACATTGTTCAAAAATAGCTTTAAGTCGGATTATGTGTAAGACTGAGGGAATGGGTAGCAATAGGATTTGCAGATAATTTTTAAAATAGCTGCAAATTATCCTTTCCTTATTCTGAGCATGTTTTATGAGAAAGCTGCTCTCATTTCATAGGCAGTAATTTCGTACAAACAAAGAGGTCAAGTCTAAAGTCTGTTTAAAGGATCAAAGAAGATGAAGGTATCAAAACACTGTTTCTAGAAAATTATCTGACATGTATTGATTTTCTTGTAATTATATAAAAAAATTGTAGTGACTTTTTTTTCATTGCAAGAGACATGATAAAATGTTTATCATTTCAGATTTTGCCATATGTAGGACAAGCCTATAGTTCTTTTTCTGAGACTTTGTTTTGTGGGAATTTTTCCCCATATCCCTTTCAACTGTTTTATAATCCAAAAAACTCCAAGACACAATAACAACATGAATTTCTTGAAAATTGTCTCTGTATGATACATCTCACTCAATTCTGTATCACTCAAATTGCCACTGTAGTTGCAAACAGTAAGATATTGAGCTGTAATAAATTATCATATTATTTTACCAGGATTAATTCCACCTATTAAACAGAAACACCATTTTCTGCAGGAGAAAAAGCATAAAAATGAGAACTGTTATTATTATTTCTGTTTTATTGATATTCTCAGTATTCATGGATATCAGGATTTATTCTGTCAGAATTGGCAGATTAAGTAATTCCAATAAAGCAATCCAGTGTCACCATCCTGAAAATCTTTACTGTCCCTTCTGCTCCGATGTTTTCACTAAGAAAGGCTTGATTTTTTTAACTTTGTTTTACTTAAGATTTTTTTGCCTATATGCATTGTTGGTGTGTTCAAATATTCACATATTTGGCATACTGCAGTGTCAGTGTTGCCATGCTATCAAGAGTACTGCATCTGTTCTGATTATAGTGCAGGGTCTTTCTTGCCATTGCATTTCCTTCCATGCATTACAAGATGATGAATTATTCAACAATGGTATCCAGCAACTGACAAGCTTTAGCTGGAGTGTAACCACTGGACACCCATGAATTTTGCATACTTTGGTTACTTAGGTTGATGAAATTCAGGCTCTAGCTTATTCATTGTCAGCAGCTGCTTTTATCAGCCACTGAACTAAATACCTACTTGATAGTTAGCTTCTTTTTTTTTACATTTTTTTTCCTTCGATAAATCTACAATAAAAGAACCAGCAGAATGATGTCTTGTGCCCACAGAGATATGTCTGTTTATTTTGTCAGTCTTTCTTTATTGGCTTTAATGAGTCTGTACTGGTTTATAGCAATTTGCCAAGGTACAGCTCCAATCTGTTATATCTAGGCACTGAATATAAATCAGTTCTAAATTTCACGTATTTGTCACCTGATTTTGGTAGGTAGTTGTTCACTGGATAACCTCTGCATGCATATGTAGAAAGGTTTTCTTTGCAGAAAGAAAATTTAAACATTTGAAGTATGTGCCTAAATTCTGCATACGGATGGAAAATATCTGCTTCCACTGCCCACTCAGTCTGCCACGACTCTTTCTTCCCTACAGCATTAAAAAACATGAACAATATTTTAGGCATAATTACTGTACACAGTGTAAGTCAGATACCACCCACCAGCTGTCCAAAAATGAGAGAAGTGGGAGCTAGAATTATTTCCCTAACTATATGTGAGTTTGAGGTGTATTTGAAACTAGGCTGTCCTCCCATGACCTTGGTTAATGGGACCGGCACTTTATGTGAATATTTCTGTTTTTCTGTTTGTACTGTAATTTATTTTTCTCCTTCATGGTTCATATACTATGCTGGATTTAGAGGCAGTCATCTAAATCTGTCATAACCCTATGCATGAGGGTCACCAGAGTTAAGTGGATATTAAGGGCGCTCCGACTTGGCAAATGGGATGTAGTCAAGATTATTATTACTGTAGAAACTGAGCAAATCAGAAGTCATTTGCTTAAGTCATAAATCTGAGCTGGTTGTATGTGTCCCACAGAATTCTCTCTATCACAATGTAAAGAGGTTGGGGTGGCCCAAATAATGTTTCCAGGATGCAATTGTTGGGAAGAATATTTGCAGTTAATAGAGATGAGGGAATGGGAAGATAAACCTCTGACCCTTGATTTTTCTCTTGCTTCTGTCATCTATGTAGAAAGTCATTCTGCCAACGGCACGTTTCTGTGGGTGCAGCAGTTTTCTTCACAGTAGTGAGAAAAGTACTGGTCTGTTCCTCAACTAGGTGTTCAATGAGGAAAAGAGATGCCTCAACTGCCTCTTGTTTATTAAAGAGGAAAGAACACAACTGACCAGATGAGCCATTATTTCCTGTGTATGTGCATCTGGCTGAGTTGATTTAGAAGTGTTGGAGACATTTCTAGTATCATTATTCAAGTGAATAGCACTATTTTTTTCCTGTGGAAAAAGTATGTTAATGAAGATGCAGAAACATGGTGTGAAATTGTACTCGCTGATTAGAATAATCATTATCTACAGTACGGTTTAAGAGTGTATAATATTTATCTCTAGTGTGACATTCAGTCCAAAATGTATAGCCTTTCTGGCTCTATGATCTCTTTAGAAGTAGAGTATTTGCCACGCTGAATAAGAATGGTGGTTGTCAATCAAAGGCAACGTGCTGCCCCCAGCAGTGTCGACTGTAAATACAGGGGAACTTAAAATGACTCGCCAAGCAGAACATTAGCAGTGCAATGTTGTAAATGGTGGCTCCTTTCTTGATAGTTTCTGTAGTAATGGATGAGGTCAATCCAGTCTAATTAGTGACAAGTTCTACAGCATAACTGCACTACACTGACGGCTGACTACAGTAAGGTGGTGCTACTGTAGTCAGTAATATTCATTTTGATGCCACTTCTTAAACTGAATAGGTTTGTTTTGTTTTTGAAAATTGCTGATTATTATTATTTTAAAATGAGAATTCTTTTCATTGCATATTTCTATTTAAAAAGCCTTTCTTATTTTTAAATAAATTGGTTTCAAGTAAGTGTGTAGATTCTACGTTCATCTCACGTACCATTACACACTAAATGCTCTGTCATTGATATACCTACTGTGCAGCAGTAGAAGGTAGTTTCATGAAGAAATAAAGCTAAGGGAAATCATCCTTCGTTTTTAATTTTTTTTAAAATAAATGATTCATGAAACACTGAAGTCATTTATATCTGGAAATTCCACCTGTTGATATGCATAAATTTGAGTAGTAATGCTGTTATAAAAACTTGATTTTACTGAAAGGAAAATCTGGATCAGAAGTTAAATTATATTATTTTTCTGTACAAGATAACTGTATTCTCATGTTTTCATGTATATTGAATATTTTAGGTTCAGCACACTGCACCTCAGTGCTGAAAAGAAAAAAAAAATAAAGCAAAGCTTCGGAATACTCCTGTTTATATTAAAATCAAGAGAATCTTTAGGCAACTGATCTGAAAACTGACCTGATTGGGAACATCTGGCTTGTATTTCTGTCTCATATCTGGAAATTTTCTTTCCCTGTTATATTGCTTTTGTAGGTCCCAGAAGCCATAAGAAAGTGCCAGCGAGCTGGAATTACGGTCCGCATGGTCACTGGAGACAATATCAACACAGCACGTGCCATTGCCATAAAGTGTGGAATCATTCATCCAGGAGAAGACTTTCTTTGCCTTGAAGGGAAAGAATTTAACAGGAGGATCCGAAATGAGAAGGGAGAGGTAATTCATGTGCTAAATCCATACATATTAAGAGTGTGCCACAAAAACAGTGAGAATACTGACATGCTGCTTCTCCTTTGCTGAGGTGTACATTGCTTCAGTAAAGACTACTTGGAGAGACTGGTACTTTTTTCTAGCAGTATTCTTTTGCAACTTAAAATACTTTTGAAAAGCCACTCTTTCCTTCTTAGAATGCAGAACCGCTACAAGTTTTGTGCTAGATTTATTCAGCATATTTTAGAACCATAGCATACCCTTCAAGAAACTCAAACTAAGGACAGGAAAAACAGGTTTGTTAGCTAAGAGGAGAAAGAAGTCAACTCTGCAGGCTTAAGTCTCATGGAAACGCTGAGAACCAGATACTTTCACTTTATAACACTTTATGTAATCCATCTATTACTGCATTCACTCATTCTAACAGTTTGAATAATTTCAGTCTGTTCTTCAGATTTTTAATTCCGCATATAAAAGACAGATTATTGAAGCCAGCTTAAAAAAGGTGAACTCTATGCTGTGTCTTAGAATCCATTGTGAGGACAGGCATTTAATCCTTACATTGACTGAAGGAATCCTGGGAGCATGAGGATATGCTGCAGGTTTGTCCTAGTTGCTCCTGTGGTATAACTGAGAAAATTCTGCCATTACTGATGACAAAATGAAGAACTTGGATTATAATGCAGAATAAAACAACCCGTTTCAAATTGTAAATTGTAAGCTGTTTGATCGGCTTTGAGGAACTGTACTATCCTACAGTCATGTTTCTGAGTGGGACTATGTGCGAAGAGCATAAGAAAGGCAGATAAAATACAGTGGCAAAATTGACCTATGTTAACCAGTAAAGGACTTTCAGTAGTACAAAAAATGACTTTTTTGGTCTTGCTGCCATTGATGTCTGCTGTAATTTTTCTGTGCTTCTGGAGAACAGATCTTAGTGAAATGAATCCTCTGCTGCTTGGACACAAGTGTATTTTGCATTTTTCTAACTACAGACTAACAGTTACCTTGTTGTTTTTGTTACTGTTTTCCAGATTGAGCAAGAGCGGATTGACAAAATCTGGCCAAAGCTTCGAGTACTTGCTCGGTCGTCTCCCACGGACAAACATACTTTGGTCAAAGGTGAGTGAGACCACCTTCATATGTGAGCATGTATGTAAAGTAATGGCAAAGTTATTGGAGAAGGCTCAGTACATCTTTTGCATTGTAAAAATATTACTGTTAAACTGCATCTGAGCTATCTTTAATTACAAATCACTGCTCTATTCACAGTGCAAGAAAACTTTCTTGGTAAATAAGTCCCTTGTGCTTGCATTCTACCTCAACTTTCAAAAGGAAAACAAAAAGAAACTCATTGGCAGGAATAGCAGAAGTATCAGTCAGCATAAGTCAAGTATTAACTTATTTGCCCTGCAAATTTTTAATTGGACTAGAATGAGGCTCTGGCTGGGAATGGAAAGTGTGTTTTTGCTGGCTAGAAAAATATTGTTGAAAAATGAGTAATTTTTCTTATTACAATAGTAATTTTCTTATTACAATATTAGTTTTCAAAAATCATGTAACTAGGCATAGACTGAGTGTTACACCTATTTCAAGGCAGTTCCATTTTCCTGTAGACTCCTTAATTGTGTGCTCTGCATAGGTTTCCTTTAAATTTCCATGTGTTTTTAGAATCTGTTTTTGTCCTATAAAAACTGTACCATAGAAACCATGCTGTCTCACCATGCCGTTTGCAGATGGATGCCTCTTTAAAAGGGGAATTTATTTGTATCATTCTTTACAAAACCTTTTTCAAATCTCACATTTAGTGCTGGCTTGACATTTTATTCTTTTGACCTTTGATCTCACAATCAAAAGCTTAGTAAGTCAGAAAATTTCTGATCAGGAAGTTTTTGTGGGTGGCCACAAAAAGATCTTTCAGCTGTCTTGACTGCTTAAAGAATTCAGATTTAGGTAGAAAATCATTCCTGGCTCTCTCCTTTTGGTATGCCAAAGTTGTCTCGAAATGACTCCTTATGTGACTGATTACAGACGATCTGGATGTAGTTTTTTTAAAATGCCTGAACGACTTCAGAGCCAATGTTCCCTGGAGAATTTGAAGACTGGATCAGTTGGGCTCTGAGGTTGGGACTAGTGTACATGAAGAACTCAAGAAGCACAGTTCATTCAGAAGTACCAGGATCAGTGTAAGCTCTGGCATAGCACAAAAGATGAGGCAGCTGAAAACAGACTGCTGTTATTCACATTCTTGACACACTGTTGAGACCAGTGGTCTCCAAAGTGAGGTGCAAGACAGTCCACTGGGATGCAGTAAGAAAATATTTATCATTTATAAACAAAATCTCATTTTTGAACTAATTTTATTTCATCTCTATCTTATCCTTTTCAATTTGTATTTTGTGTTATTTTTTTTAATGTGACTAACATATTAGTATAGTAGTATGAATGCAATTTATAAATAATATGTATATTTTGGGGGCATTTGCTCAAAATTTTACTGATAGTCATTCACAATCAAAAGTTTGGAGATGGTGGGTTTGGACAACATTATTACTAGTTCTGCATCTCAGAATTCAAACAGCACAAAGTTAGCTGCCCTTCTGCATACGATGTAGTGTCTTGTAGCTCTTGTAGGGCATGACTTGTAAAGCCTATTATAGCTTTATTTGTTCCAGAAGCATACAGCAATTTATGCTTCATTGAGTTGATTAAAAAAGTCCCCTGGAAGTACTCATTTGAATCATGTAGGATTTTCCCTGAAGAGGAAAACAGAGCCTTTGCCAGAGAAAAAGAAATCAATGAAAGCTGAAGAAAAATAAGCAACAAATTATTGATATTCTATAGCATATGTACTTTGACAATCCAAAATATATTTACTGCTGCTGAATATAACAAATACAATTAATGTTGCTAAGGTATGACAAAGTCAAATGATAGACCAATTAAATACCAAACAATGTTCAAGAACAAGCCTATGGAAATCATGATGGAATTTTTTGGATGGCAATACTCTAAGGGCCATTAAAAGTTACAAGAAACTATTTAAATGTTCTCTAGTTTTGAGCTTCTTGTTAAAATGTTATATTTTTCTCAGACACTTGAGGGATCAAGAGGATTTTCTTTTCTTTGATGTATTCTAGCTGCTTTAGGGTAAAAACACACATCACAAAATAAACTTTTTTTATATTTAATTTTTAATGACATAGGGCTGCTGGAGGGAAATTTTTTTTTCTTCTGTAACGCAGTGCAGTCTCACCCAGCAAAAGGATTCTTTTTCTTTTACATTTCTGTTTTTACTATTGCTGAGGGACTAGAGAAACACATGGCTCAGCATTTAAGGCTGGGCAGAGCGTGTTCTCTCAAATATTTATGTATTTGAAGTAGAGATGGATTGAAAAAAAATGTCAAAGTGATTTAGCATCACAAAGTGTTTCAGTGAAACAAAAAGAGTTCACTTAGATGTCTCAATCCAGTTGAAATGCAGTCTCTTATTGACTTCATGAAGTCAGTTGGTATGATTTCAAATTATTGTTTACCTTAAAATATAGCAATACAAATGCTTGTTATCTATAGTGATGTGTCATTATATTACTGAAATATTTCAAAATTGTCATATTTGTTTCTAAAACAGTAAAAAGAAGCAGCTTGTTACTGATGGAAACAGCATCCTCATCTTATCAGAAAATGCAGAAGATAAAATAGTCAGCTTACAAGTTAAAGAAACTGTGTTTTCCAGTATGTTTAAATTTGGTTGAGATTATTTTTCCATGATACTAAAAACAGCTGTTCTCTTTCTTTGTAAGATTAGAAAGCAGAAAAGAAACTTTAGAAGAAGTTTTTGTAATTATTACCTTTAATTACTAAAATATTCCAAATATTCTTCCTTGTGACAGTATTATTGTACCGCTGACCTCGTTAGTACAGACATGCCATGACACTAGGTAAATTAATTAAAAATAAATGTATCAACTGAAGTTCTGAACTTCAGTCTTCTATATATTAGTCTTCTAACTGAAATGTAAAGGTACCTGCTCAGAACAAAAATCCCACGTTTGTGCCATATTTTTCCCTGATTTTCTACTATCATGATCTTTGCAGAACAGTATTCACTTAACACTTACCAATGCTGTCTGCAATGTTATTTTAAACATTTTCACGTTAACCTTTGAAGTTCTATCATGCAAGTAGGTAAGCATTAAGTGAATTTAAATTATCTCCTTCAGTCAGATTTTCTAAATTCTTGTTAGATGAACATGAGGTTTGAGAAGTGTAAAACATGAATCTCAACAGAACAAGCCTATGAAAATGTATTACCACATCTGTCTTTATTTGGCTTGTCAAAGAAAGATAAATATGATTAAGTGTATGGGATGATCAGCTTTCCTGCATCAGTAGCACCTGAACTTGAATGCTTACAGCTGTGTATGCAGCGCTGGTATCTTTCATAGCACATTTGTATTGTACATACAGTGCTCCTCTTGGCTATACACAGTTGTTTTAAAAAAACAAAAACATGATTTTTTCCCTCATCAGAAACAAGTTGCTTTCTCTGGCAAATTAATGTCTTAAAGAAGGTTCATGTCTGCGTCCCAAATTTTCATAGCATCAGTGGAATCAGTATCTGGAACCGACTGTAATGTTATGCTCTAGGTATGTTCCTGTGGGTGCTGAACAAAATTCATTTTGGCAGAGAAAAATTGTAGTTGAACAGCTTAAGAGGAGAGCACAGATCAGTGAAACAGTAAGGGCTGTTTTGAGATAAATCTTTGCCAAACCTTATGAATTCCCCTGACATGCCTTGCAAAAGGTGGTTGATCGAAATAATGTATGCAAGCATTTAACTGGAGTACAGCAGTTTATTTTGTACAATTTACCTGACTGTTAGGCTTGAGAAATTAATACTGATTTTCATTTTTGTCCATTATGACTGAGTGGAAATGGGCACTCTGTGATTGGCAATCTGTCAGATCCTACCCTCATTTGAACTTCTCACTGATCAATACAGCAGTAGTTCTCCACAGCTCAAGTAAAATGCCCTTCCCTGGCATCCCTCTTTTGTGTCTGTATACCTTTTGTAAAATCTGTATTAGGATATTACTTGATACTAAAGAAAACTTCTGAGATGAAATTGTAAAAATATATCACAACTATTAACAAAATGACATCAAAAGAAAGGAAAAAAAAAGAGCTCAACAGTACAGCGATGTGAGGAAGGAAGGAGTAAAGGAACATTTAAAATAACATTGAGAAGTCAAGGAGCATGGCTATAGCTATGAATAGCAAAGGTGAATCTTCTGAATCCTAAACAATTGCTGCTGCTTCATTTTAGAAATTTGTCTGATCTACAGAGAAGTTCCTCAAAGACCTTCTCTCTGCCAATAGCACTACAGACTTTTATTCCATACATACATGGTTCTGATGGTTCTGTGTTGCTGAGATGGTTACCATCAGCATCTCAGCCACTATCTGCAAGAACAACATTTTATCTGTCTTTCCGTGACTGCTGATTATACCGTTCTGTGCTCTGGAGAGTGTTTGGCTCATCCCAGCTGCATAGTTTGCTTTTATGGATAAAAATGGGCAGCTGAGTAGTGTAATCGTTGACATTTGGCCACTACTTATATCCATTAGGAAGTCATTTCCTGAAAACCCTTGAGCTTCATGAAGGCTGCGCTCCCATTTGGAATCTAATCATGAGAAGATGCACTCTACCTGTTTGGAGCAGTTAATAGCACAAAGTGTCGTAGTATTAATTAATTTCTTTAGAAGCTCAAGCTATTAATTTAAAACCAAAGAGCAAATTGATTGCAAGAGGAAAGACAAGATACTTTTTAACAGTAATGTCAGCTGTTGTTCCTGTTTGTTTAGTTATACCAAATCACCCCAACAAACTGAAAGCTCTCATTCTAATATGTTATCAGAATAATACGGCATTTATTTGAGTTCATAGTGCCAGTGGAAAGCGAATGCTCTTTTTACAATTTTTCTTAAGACTGAAAAATGCAGGACACTTACTGCTTCCATACTGCACTGCAATCTTCTGCGTGTCTGATAAGGCTTAACTTTGCCAAGAGGTTGCTATTGCTCTGTAATCTGCAATTTCCTATTTCTGGATGGTTATCTGATATGGGAATTATTTTTTTTCCCAGAGTAGCTGAAAGCTTTTCACACTGGATAGGTTTTGATAATTGTTTTTAGAGTATATGGTATGGCTTTGTGCAAAATATTTTAGCAAAAGAAATGTCATTTTCCCCTCCCCCCATGTTACCTACACAGAAATCCTGTATTCTCAATAAATTAACAGATGGACTCTAATGTGGAAATAAAAGCATGCGCAGAGAATTATTCCCATCCTCTTAAAATGCTGAGCTGCTTCTGTGACTGTAGAAGTATTAAATCTTTCTGCATAAGTAGAAAATAGTTTTGTTTTTGGCAATTAGGTGAAAATTCACCAACTGCTTTTAGTGTTTTCAATTTGAGATAATTTGTCAAAGGAAAGTGGGAATTATTTTATTATGACTATTTATTAGAATGTTTGGGTTCAGAATTCATAGAATTATTTTATATCTTGTCAATTCATTGTCAAACATCTTTCTGTTAAAAAGGTCATTTGGTTCCAGCTGGATAAAATTAATGACATTTGTTATCTTTAGGTTATACTCACTACTGATTGCCAGAAGGCATCTCAGCCAAACAGGCAATACAGTTAAAACCAAGTTCAGGAAAACTTTTAACATGATCTTAAATCTTCAGCAAAAAAATTCCACTGAAGTTTAGTCAAGAGATGGACTGAAACAGATTTATTGTGATACATAACTATGAATAATAGAAACCTTCCAGAAGAATAGAATGAGCTGACCATATATCCTTTGATGTCTGTGCAAATTTTGTTGTTTTTTTTGATGGTTCTGGATATTTCCATAAAACTTCTAACAGGGATATTGAATATAATATAATATTGATCACGTCTTTCATCATTATTTTCCTTAGAAATCAACTATTAATCTCTGTAAGATTCATGCAATCTGTGTTACACAGGCACTGCTTGGAAATACCAGGGAAGTTTTATCTTGCTACCTATTTTTTATATATATATATGTATGCATACACAGACATATACATTTTTTGCAGGTATTATTGACAGCACACAGGTGGAGCAGAGGCAGGTTGTAGCTGTGACTGGTGATGGAACCAATGATGGACCAGCACTTAAGAAAGCCGATGTTGGCTTTGCAATGGTATAATCTTGAGCTTATTTATTAATATTTGTGTCATTATAAATCTGCTGTAAGAAGTTTTTCATTATTGAAGTGTTGAGAAGGATAATAAATGAAGCAACACATTGGAAGGGATGGGTTGCGTTCCTTCAGAATCCTTTAATTCCGTATAATAGATTGTCTTGCTTATTTTCATACTTAATCAATATTTTGCAGATTGACTAAGTAGAATCCAATGCCTGAACAGAAAAATGAACTTAATGTTCTTCCTAGAAGTGCAGTACCCATTTGCATTGCTAAAATCCAGTGCTACATGTAAACATGTCCTCCCAACATACTGTGACTCTGAGCATATATGAATAGAGAATACGTATTAAGATACGTAATTCTATTTTTATCATTTCTGTTCAAATATACTGATAGAATATTCTCAGTGATTAAAAAAAATGCCACACAAGAACAACTCAAAAGTTAACTAGTCAAGAAGCTGATGCTACACAGCATTCAGCAGTATCATGATAGGAATTCCAATGCTTTCTGTCAATGCATTGGATAGTGCTTTTCTGCTTTTCTGCTTCTTTATTCACCTTCAAAAATAGATTCAGTTAGCCAACATCCTAGCGAGTGTGAAGTGCAGAATATACTCAGCATCACTGCTACGGTGCAGGGTAACTCTATGTAACTATGACCTTGAGTATGCAGAGGTTTATGTTCTGTCCATGTACTTCCCGGCAATTTTATTCCCAATTATTTTTTCCAGGGCATTGCTGGAACAGATGTTGCAAAGGAGGCCTCAGATATCATCCTAACAGATGACAATTTCAGTAGCATCGTGAAGGCTGTAATGTGGGGACGTAATGTGTATGACAGTATCTCCAAATTCCTGCAGTTCCAGCTCACTGTTAACATTGTGGCTGTGATAGTGGCTTTCACTGGAGCATGCATTACCCAGGTAAGGATAACTTCAGCATTACTAAAAGCATGAGGCCAAATCCTATTAAGCTACATCTTTTCTTAACTGAAGATGAAGGTGATTTACATTTAATTCTTACTTTGTACAACACAAGCATTCTTTCTGAAGTTCTTCTGAAAATTAAGGATTTACTTAGGATCAAATTGGTGAGTGTTAAATAGCTGTTGACGAAAGGAAGTGAGCAAATCCATCTTATCTAGGAAGTAAATTCCTCCCTTTTTTTGGCTGCATATTGCTGCTGTGACTGAGCCTGTGATGAAAGAGCAGAAAGTGCCAAGAATTGGAAGAAGTGACTTTGTTTTTCCTTTCAGAATATTCAAATAATAATAAGTATATGTTTAATGACAGATTATGAAATGAGACTATTATTTTCAAGATAGCAGTACACAGAAGTAATCCCAGCAGGGGAACATTTTGACTGATAAAACAATTGTTTTGTAGCTTTCAGGCAAGTCCTTTTAATTTTAGGTGCAAATAACAAGCCAATTAAATGATGCCCACAGTTAGAATTGGATCCCCTTTTCTCCCTCCACACTAATCTCTTATTGTAGTCTTGCTGCACATGCAACACGTTTTGGTCGTTTACAAAAGCATACCATGTTTTTTCCTACAAGTTACTATTTCTTAATTAATATTTTTTTTCTTTTACTTGTCAAGAATTTGTAGTATTTATAATGGAAGTTCATCCTCCATTAAAAAATAGAAAACCAGTAGTTTATTAATGCTATTACTCCCCCAAATGTAAATAAACATGCATTTCAGATGCTGCAGAGAAATACTGTTAGAAAAAGCTTCTTCTGGTTGAGATGCACTGATGCTTCTGTGTGCATCATGCAGCCACATGTACCTGTTTCAGCAGGTAAATTCCACCTCATGCACACCTGAGCAGAACAATGAATAAGTTATTAGCTCTGCTCTGGGGTAAACTTACACTGCAATCATGGAATTAATCCTTGAAACCAGAAACTCATGTACCTTTATGAAACCATGAGGTCAAACTTCTCCTAAGCCTTGACAGACATTTAGAGGCCGTATCTGAGCTGTGTGTGAGCAGTCTCCCAGTTCCCAGCTTCTGCTAGCGCACCGCAGCAGCTGAGTGGGTGCAACTGTTGTCATTTATCTCCTCTGAACTAATTAAGCATTAGAGCTAGGGCTGAAATTCTTAGAGAAATCAGAAATTGGTTTTAGAAGCAAGCAGCAGTGATCCTAATATATGAAATAAGTATTTTTACTCTGTGCAAAAGAAGCACTAAAACCTCAATTTATTGATTTTCTGAGAAGTAAAAAACGACAAGGTACTAAGTGCTAGTTGCCTACCATGCTGCCTCCATGTCTTCCTGATGCCTTGTTGTCACAACTGAGCCTATGACTAAGACAGAAGTCTGAAACTTCATTTTCCCATGGAAAATAATCACAAGCACACTGAGAAAACATTCAGCTGTAAAGTGCTTTTTACTGACAACAGAATTTACATGAATAAGTAATAAAGATGTGGAAGGTAAACCTTTCCAGATTTCAACAATTGTACTAAATAATATACAAAAAAAGGGCTAATAGCAACACGGTAAGAGTACCAGAATTGAACTGAGGGGACTGATTCCTTTTGAGCCCTTGTTTTGCAGACATTCAATCAGAATTGACACACATTTATGTCAGGCAATTTTTTTTTTTTTTTTTTGTTACTGTCCGCTGATTTTTCATTGCTTTCTGAAAGCACCAGAAAAAATTAACTCTAGTTGTTAAGTAAAAAATTTCTATTTCATTCTCGAAGAGGTAAACATTATTGAATCAGTGCAAAGACTATTCTACATTGAGGTCTTGTGTAGCATTTGATCAATTCAGGCACGTTCCCCTTTCTATTTCCAGAGCTTTTTTCATCCTTTGGATCATTCTATCAGCTTCCAAAAGGATCTGGATCAGGCCCAGTGTGTTCGTATTAACCCCATGGTCTCTAACACAATCACTGAGACTGTCAGGTTCACAGTTTCTGTTGATGGTTTTTTCTAATGTGCAGCTCCTAGAATTTGTGTATTTCTGCACAAAGAGATTCTTATGTAATTCATTAATTTGGCAGTAAAAACATAAATATTCTGTAAAGGAAGAGATCTGAAAGGAGCTAAAATTGAAACTAGGAAAAAGGCAGCAGTTATTTCCACTGTGGTTCTGTTTACACTGAACTGGCTGACTGCTGATAATCTCAAGCAGCTCTCATTTCAATCTCATTCAGCAAGGATCTTGCCTTACGAATGAACATTATTACGTTAGGCTTTGACTCAAAGATTCTAGGCAGTGAAAGGGCATTATGTTTGTTTGGCTCATAAGCTCTACTAAAAATTACACTTGGGAACATACTGCACTCTCTTGTTGCTATGATAATAGCTCTAGCACAGAATGCATGAATGTACTGAAAAATCATACAGTAGGCTAGGTGTGCATGGATAGAAGTCTGCAAAACTGTGCACAGGTTTTTAATTATTATTTTGACTGAATCAATTAAGTTCTTAATAAACAAAGCTGAAATCCAGAGTTTCCAAAAAGCAGCACAGCTTTCTATGACCTTCAAAATGAACGTAGATTGAAATTTACTTTGCTTTCAGGTAGTCGATTTGGCTTTGTTTGACACACACAATTTAATTTTAGTCCATGACTAATATTCAGGTTAATGAGTATTACCCAGCCTACCCTTTTGGTGGTTTTATCAAATTTAGAATGAGAAAATTTCAATTTAAGGGGCAATGTTTATTTCATGCTTCTTAATGTTACCTCTCAGAAAAGGTTTTCTGTAGTTCAGAAACAGCACACTGAATGCATTAAGCTTCTTTTACGCTTACGACTTTTTGATGTTGTTTTTTTGCAGAGAGTGTCTACTATGTTTCTTCTTTGTGCTCCTTTGTTGCTGCAATAGTTTAACTCAGTATCCAACAACTATAGGATACTTAATGCTATTCCAATTTTAGAGAGGAATTACAAAGGAGAAGCATTTGGCTATTGAAGAATTTATTATGCAGGCTAAATAGGACTAATGGAAATGGTCGTTTGTTATCCTATGTCATCAGTCCCAGTGTGAAGTTAAGTAAAGAAAGCAGGAATCACGTCCTAAGTGACTGCTGCCAAAGTGATGCTGCCCCTCAGAGTGATCTAGATTAGCCTGTGCCCTGCATCAGCTTACAGCACCTTGATCTATGAGAGTTCTGTTAGTGAAACTTTGTGTTGTGGTTCTGTAAATGCTTTGAAACGTGGGTCATACAAGAAAACCCAACTTCACAAAGTCTCTGATTAAAAGTTGAATCTAGATCACTCAGTCTATGGCTGCACACTTGTCCATTGTGTACACAGCAGCCAGCAATGGTCAGTGCAGTTTCCATGGCACAGTACAGCTGAGACAGATTAATTCACCTAATCTTTCAAGTAATCTAATTAATTTACCTCTTGCTTCCTTCTTTGTGTATGATCCAGTGCATGCTTTTAAAGCGGTGAGGGTATGACCATCCTGAACAGTTTGCATGTAATTTTTCTTTCAGTTTAGCAATTGATTTCTTTTTCACTGGACTAATGAGCTATGAACAACTGTAATCTGACTTATTTCTCTGGGTAACATCTGACTGCAGAGCCTTCAATGCAGTGAGGGTTCTTTTGGAACTCTGGAACTCTGCCTACCAATTGTGAATGCTGTACTGCAAATGAGTCATTATTACATGTCTCTGAGCATCATATAGATTTCCATATGAAATTTCATGCTGTTTCCAGTCCCCAGCATCCACAATATCAAGCAAATAATTAGGTTGTTATATTTGGAACTGTTTAAAAAAAAAAAAAAAAAAAAAAAAAGACTATGTACAATATAAGAATTTAAATTGTAGTTCAGTCAAATGGAAACATTTTTTACTGGAAGTATTAAGCTAACAAATCTACATCTGTGCAAAATTTTATCTCCACTTCCAACTGTTGTGGAAATGTAATTATTCCAATAGGTTGCATTAAAGAAAGATAGAACAAAGACCACATTTTAACATTTTGTATTCAAGTTATTATTCTCGTACTAAAGAAAGACTTAATTTTTTAAAAGGACATGTTTGGAAAATTAAATGCTAATTAAAAAGCACTTCAGCAATGAACTGCTGCATGAATCACCTACTGTTTTTACAGACCTTATTAAAAAAAGGGAAGGATATATATTTACATCTGTAAGACAGTAATTAACATGGTTTACTGCAGAACTGTATTTGACAAAACGTGAAATAATACCACTGGAAAATTGGAAAAAAAAGCTATAACATATTGCAATCTTTTCAGAAGGCACAGAACCATTGGCCACTTCCATTCAGTTATCAGACAGTGTGATCTAGCAGTGCTGGCAAAGGTTTTATTTTTACATCTATGTATACAAACTACCAGACACACTTGTTTTTATGAATGGATACATGTGTACTCTGACAAGTAGAAATAAAGGGGTAAGGGTAAAAATACCTTTTCATTCCCACGCAGCTTGTCATCTAAATCAAAAGTAACAAGCGCTAACATTTTAGAGACTCTGCATGTCACAAAAGATTTACAGTTTATTTCCAGCCTTTTGTGATTTGTACTTTTAAGTGTTTCCAAAATGAAGTGTAACATCACTTGACTTAAGGGACATTTTCCTTTTACCTCTAGGCCAATGCTAACCTATTCCAAGGTCAAGTGGAAAGAAATTTGACAAATAAGTCATGATTTTGGGAGCTTTGCAGTTTGAGAAACTTCCATCCCCATAGTTTTAAGAAGAATTCATTGCTAGCAAGTCAGGGGCTAAAATGCAGCAAAAATGACATTGACTTTGCCTTCCACTTTTACAGCACAAGTGAATAAAATCTGTAACGAAAGAGTAAGCTCCTTAGCTGATAGCTATTTTCCTTAGTTTCCACCAACTAATCAGAAATCAGGTGGAGTTGCAGTGGAAATTTAATTCCACCTCCTGCCCAGACTAATGTGTATTTAATGTTTTGGCTTCAGCTTAGAATGAGCTTTCACACTTGACTGAACAGTGTAGCACTGCCTATAATAGATAATTATTAGAGGCACCATAGCCACCCAAGGTGATTGGCAGTGCGAAATGGTGAGAACGTGTTGATGCCAAAACTGATGACTGCCAACTACAGTTGTGTGATTTAGAGATTGAAAGAATCTGAGTTTTTGTTGTGCTAGAAATATGTCAGGCGTTGATAGAAATCTGATCATTTGACTCTATTTATTAAGCACAACAGACAAATTCCGTTTTTGCTGACATTGATGTCAGCACACAAAGTAGCAAATTCAGCTTCTATAGCACCTCAATGTAGGGAATGTTTCTTGAGAAAACTCAGTCAAAACTACAAAGACAAAAATATGACAGTTCTTCAGGAGAAAACACGTTTTCTCTTTTCTCCATATACTGGCTAGGATCTATGAGCCCTGGCGACTAACAACTTTTGCTACCCTTGCAGCTGAACCATTAGTATGAATTACAATAAATGAAGTCTCATTGAGTGGTTTTAGATTTATACCTTCTAAGATGGAGATGTTTCCTCTTTCTGCAGCTGCATGTCAAATGGATGAACTGAATCTCCAGATAAGCCCAGTTAATGCAACCCATGACCAAGAGGTCAAGAATCTATTAATGATAATCCTCCACCCATCCTTAGTGTACCCAACCTGTAGGACTGAAAGAGCAGGTTGCTCTTCTCCATCCCTATGAAAACACTGAAAAAGAACGTGCGTTTTTTTTAGCGTGTCAAAATATATTTAATTATAAGGCTCTTAAGAATATTTTTCAAGACAAAATAATACTTTAACTCAGGAGAGTTGGAATATAAGCCAGATCCAGAACAGACCTGATCGTTTACCTATTCTTCATGCATTTTTGGGATACTAAATGGATATTGGCACTCATAATTTGATCACATTTCATTAAAAATGAATCACAGAATCATAGAATCACTAAGGTTGAAGAAGACCTCCAAGATCATCTAGTCCAACTGTTTACCTGCCACCAGTATTTCCCACTAAACAATGTCCCTTAGTACCACATCTTAGCATTTCTCAAACACCTGCAGCGATGGAGATTCGACCACTTCCATGGGCAGCACATTCTGGCACCTGACCACAATGTCTGAGAATAAATTTTGGAGAATAAATCTAACCTGAATCTCTCCTGGTGCAGCTTGAAGCCATCCCCTCTAGTCTTATTGCTAGTTACATGGGATAAGATTCTTACCACCACCTTGCCACAACACCTCCCTTCAGGCAGTTATAGAGAGTGATAAGGTCTCCCCTGAGCCTCCTCTTTTCCAGAGTGAACAATCCCAGCTCCTTCAGCCACTCCTCGTAAAGCCTGTGCTTCAGACCCCTCACCAGCTTAGCTGCCCTTCTCTGAACACACTCCAGGCCTCCATGTCTTTCTTGCTGTGAGGGGAATATTTTTCTTTGAGGAAAAGAGCAGAGCTCATAAAACTTTTTTATTTGCTGTTTCATACATATCTTTGTTTCAATACTGAATGACGGTGAAGTTCTCATAAAAACAGTGCCCCGATCTTCAGACTGTCACACTGTATACTAACTCCCTTCTACTATCAAATTTGTCACATTGGTATCTTACTGCTTTGGGATTTTGTGGGGCTTCCACGAAAAGGTTCTATTTGAAAGAGAATGCATGTTTTACTAATGCTGCCTATTTTGTATTCGGTCTAAAGGCATAGGAAGTTGTTAAAAAAACAACAAAAACAAACAAGTAAAAAAACCCGTAACAACAAACTTGTTTTTTCCTGATTGGACTCTTGGAAGCAATTGCAGCAATCTATCACTACAGCTGACCAAATGAATTAAAAATCACTTCTGTATAATAGCCATCCACGTTTTCTCCTAAGATCAGTGTTATTTATTATTTTTTTAAATGTAAGGTAAAGTCCTCTATAATCAGACCTTAGACACTTTCTGTCTTGAATTAAATGAGGAAAGAGCTCCTTCTAGCGGCTGGCAATCTGATTCAGAAATAGATGCTTTATTCTGACAAGAAGCAAGTTCCATATTTTCTAATCTGCTATCCAGTTACTCAACAGATTAATCAGGATTGAAAATCTGAAGCATTTTAATGAGCGTCTGGATATTTTTTTTAAATTCAAATATCAGGTGTTTTCACCATGAATGTTTTTAAGAAGTCTTATTTATGTACGACATGTCTTAAAACGTCTTAGCCATCGCTTCCTCATTTTTTAACAATTTCTAGCTGATTCCAAAAATGGGTGCTGTTTTTGTACAGGTGAAAGCTGCAAGTAATGAACCATTACTTTTTAAATTGCTTCAGCATGATTTTTCTTCCAGGAAAAAAGCTATATTTGTGTTATGCAGTTACATAAACTCAGTTACAATATGAAGCATGTACTTCATTGTGTGTTGAAGTACAGACAGCATTATGAAATGTATTATGAATTACTGTTACACTTTATAAAAACTGTGTGATTGTAAATACTGGTGATTGAAATAACTTGAAAAAACATAAATTGGAATCATTTATTTCTGCTCTGATCACTGTTTCCTGTGATTCTGATCTTGTCTGAGCAATGAAAGAACAGACATAGTAAGATAAACCACAGGTCCATGTATTTTAGTATCTTGTCTTCAACACTTCTTGCAGTTGCAGTTGCAAAGGAGGAAATGAAATCACAGTAAATGACCTGACAAAAATTATTTTTTAAGGAAATAAGTAACTTTATAATTTGTCTCCACAGGACTCTCCTCTAAAAGCTGTACAGATGCTGTGGGTCAATCTAATTATGGACACTTTTGCCTCACTTGCTCTGGCCACTGAACCTCCAACAGAAGCTCTATTGCTAAGAAAGCCATATGGCAGGAACAAACCTCTTATATCCCGTACCATGATGAAGAACATTCTGGGCCATGCTGTCTACCAGCTTACTCTAATATTTACACTTCTTTTTGTTGGTAAGAAAGTCAGGCTTGCTGCATGGTTTAGAGGCACCTAGACCACATAGAGCCAGGTGTCAGAAGGCTTTAAATGTAACCACTCGACACACATACACATTGTTAGGCAGCTAACAGGACTGGACTGTGTAAGGGGATTAGGAACATAAGGGGAGACCCAACAGAGGAATTCAGCCACTTCACCTTGAGAGGGCTGTTTTGCCTACTAACAAAATGAAGATTGGAGATAATTTCATTTTAAAATGTAACTTGGAAGGTTACATTTTAATTGGAGTATCTAGTCCGCTCCTCCTACCTTGGATTTTGAAACTTGTTATCAAAAGCAACAAAAATCAAGACTCATTTTACCAGTATTTTGAGAGGCTGCAATCAGGGAACAAAATGTAATTCAAGAAATAATATTGTTCTTAATATTACAGATAAGCAAGTAATCAGAATTAGGTGGTAAAAATAACAAGCTGTTATGGCATTTAATTTGAAAACGAATATTAAGGGAGAAAGAATTTATCTATTTTCTTATTTCCATCCTGGACTCTTTTTCAGGCATTACTAGAAGTGGATGTTTTTGTATTTGCAAGTGAGAGAGGAAGGAGGAGGAGTGTTTCTTGCTGCAGAGAAGTGCAGGCATTAACAACAGACTGCTACTGCTCTGCAACAATGAGTGAAATCGCCCGCAGGGCTGATAGTTTTATCAATAGATATTTTGTTCTTGACAATACGTCACTGCAGTTAAATGGCACGTGTTGTTTTTCACATGTTTTATCATTACGTACAGAGTTTCCTAAAAGCTATACGTTTAAATTTATGGCTTTGAAAATTTTAGGAGTTTTTTGAACTTTGTTTTGAAAGCCTTGCTCCATCTTAGCTCAAACTGACAGTTTATGTCACCTCAACTGAGGTGGTGGTGATGGCCTGCTTACAATAGAGCTATTTGAATCAAAATAATTGCCAGGTTTTGGAGACAGATGCTTCCTAATATTATGATAGGCTTTTTTTTGAGGAGTGTTATTGCTTAAAATACTTTATAGTGAACCTTGATGAAAAGAAAACCAGGCTTTCCTCACCCAATCCAAATTATTTTTGTGTCTCTTGTAAACCTGTAACTAATTTTCTCAGAAGCCCAGGAAGTACAGCCTTTTCCTTTCTGATTTTGAGAAGTGTCACTTTTACAGTGAGATGTTCTAAATACAGATTCTAGTGAGATTTCAGATTTCTGTTTTGATCAACTGCATCTTTTTGCAGCAGCATCCTTTGCTATGCCATTTAAGTGACACAGTGCAATAAATGACTTAAGGATAGGTACTCTCACTCTCACAGCTATTTGTATGTTTGTGTGTGCACTGAATGAAACCAAATAGGTGTAATGACTTTTTGTGTGTGTATAAGATAAAATACTGTAATGTTTCTGCCATTATTTTTTCCTTTATATGTATTAAGAAGAGTGTTTTCCAAGCCTTAGTGATCTCCTTGGAGATATGTTATCTGCTTAAAAATCTCTACTCTCTCAGAGTCCAACTTTTACGGTCTCATATTGTGTTACTAATATATTTTTTGATATAATAATATACTTTCTGTCAAAAGGCTATAAGCCAAATTCTTGCTTTAGAACCATGCTCATTATTCCCAGTGACCCCAACGTGAACTGCTCAAATATCCCAAGGCAAAATAAATCACTGTCAACTTAGCTGACAGAATTATGACGTCAAAGGGAAACCTCAGGAAACCTTTGCTTCTTACTTCAGAAATTCTGCGTATAGCACTAGTGGGATAGCAGAAAATGTTAAAGATTGATTTGCTTTTATTATTGCAACACTTGTTATGAATGTGGGTTGTAGTGTGATAACCTTTACTCTTTATTTCATTCGTTATTTACTCTTTCGTATGAAAGTCTCATTCTTACTTCAAATAAATACCTTACTCCTAACTGCGTGTTATCTGTAAACTTTTGTCAATGTGAAATGAGGTCCATTGGGTATTTTTTCAAATCTTATCTCAATTTTACTATTACTCATAAAGGATTTTATCCTCTTTATTGGTCAGATCTAAAAGTGAAAATCAAATTATCAAAATAAAGAGCAATGCCTGATGTTGTGTTTCAGAGCAGATTTAACAGGATGATGATGATCAAATCTATTTAAAATCAAGAATGCCTGTGTTTTTATCATTAATATCCATGAACACTTGTCAAGAGTCATGGCAAGCGTGCTAGCATATAGGTTAAAAACTGCTGAAGAGTGACTGCTTCTAATTCTGGTAGAAAAATGGAAACATACTGACAATGGGTCTTTAGTGCTTACTGCATCAGAAGGAACTGACTTAGAGCATTTACCACTTGGTTAGAGGAAAAATACTATGAAAACTGTGAGCTCGTATATTGAGTTATTAGAGAAAAGGTATCACTGGGGAAGCTTTCTGCTCAGGAACTTTAGATGTCTTTTGCTTTCTGGAGTGCAGAATTTTGCCTGTAGATAATAAGATGAGAAAAAAAGTAGAGCAAAGCAGGCAACTAGCTAAAGCAAACAGAAGAAATTAAAAAAAACTCCATTTGTTGTATTCTAGTGGAAACCTTTACTTTTGTCTTCTACCTAGGTGAGAAAATGTTTAAAATTGACAGTGGGAGAAATGCACCGCTCCACTCTCCTCCTTCAGAGCACTACACCATTATCTTCAACACTTTTGTCATGATGCAGCTTTTCAATGAAATCAACGCACGCAAAATCCATGGAGAGAGAAATGTCTTTGATGGCATCTTCAGAAATCCTATTTTTTGCACTATTGTACTGGGTACATTTGCTATTCAGGTAATGATTTGGTCAAAATTTAATACTACTCAAAAGAAATTTAGGTGACTTTTTCTACGCCTGTTTAATCTAAAAGATGTAGGAGGCACAGGAACTGTAAAACCACCTGGATTAATGTACTTCCTTAATCAGTATGTTTGTCTATAATGGAAAATGTTGTGTAGTCATCCTAACACAACATAAGTGTTGATCATTATCACCAAGTGAAATCTTAAATTAATCTGAAGATGTAACAATAGCTGTCATGGTTTGTTTACTTTTTAAAAGATATTATTAAATATACTAACCAATAGCAACATGGTATTTTACAATAACTCTATAGCATTAATCCATTCTTCTAAGGTTAAATGTCACTGTCAAATCCTATTTCAGGTTCTCAGTAGTGCTACTCCTTGGTAGTAATTCTTCATATCTATCTCAAAAGTTTGTTGTCCCAATCCTATGTAAACATAATTACAGAAATAGACCTTTTTCTCAACATTTGTAATTTTTATTTCATAAGACCTCTAATTCCTCCTTCTGCTTTAGTCTCCATACATTTGCTGTCTTCTATCCTGTACCTGACACAATCTGACATTACCTTTCAGACCTCACAGTTGCTGCATTCAACTACTTATATGTTTATGACACATATGACATACACATGAACTACTTATGTGACATTAGCACCAATTCTGCAATGGCATCCTGGAAACCATCAGATTTGGGGCCTTTCTCGTGAAAGGAATAAGGAGAAGAATTAGGTCATTTCAATCTGGACCACGGTAGTTTGAAAACAGAAAGGGAACCAATAAATAAATTGTTACAGTATTGTGTTGCAACAAACCATAACGTAAATTACGTGTGGGATAAAGAAAGGACACCATTGCATGGAGGTAGAATTTGATAGTGATGGTCTTCAACTGCTCAAGAACAGGGGTTTGCTAATCTGAACCAGAATGCCTCCAGAGAGGCCTGAAAAATCTTTACATTATTTGTCATGGGAATTGTTTGAGAACATTTTCCTAGTTCTAGTCATTACTGTACTCAATTTCATGCAGCTAAAGAAAAAGTGTTATCTAGCTACTAGCCACATTTCTGAATCTGTTCCTAATTTTACTCCTCCCTCCCTGATTTTCTGATAGCAGAAGTATTTCAGAACACAGTTCACAACAACAGATTCACACTCTGACAGTGAATCAAAAAGGATATAGTGGTTTAAGACTATTCAGGCTGTGACTCTCATTTGCTTTTCAGTCTTAAAGTCATGTAACTTTCCTTGGGACAATAAACAGTTACTCTATTTTTTCTTCTCTTATGGAAATATAACTTTGAATAATGTTGTTTGCTGAAGCAATGTCAGAATAGTACTTACTATTTTGTCTGTGTGTTGTTACATTTGACTGTGTGAGCCAAGCATTTTGTTCTAAGGAGAAGCTGATTAACTCCAGCAGCTTGGTCTATTTAGATGTATGTGAGAGATTGCAGAATTGTTTTTAATTTCATGCCTAAACTTACTACACTCCGTGTGTATTTATATTTTAGGCAAAATTATTAAGTATTTTTTAAGTACAAATAGCAACAAAATATTTTTCATAGATTTACTATTCCTTTTGTACTTTCTGCTGAGTAGAGGCTCACTTCAACTCTGAGCGCAGCAGTTACACTAACTGTCCTCATCCAAAACCTCTCTGAAAAAAACCGACAGCTTTGGCAAAAATTTCAAAGGAACAAAATGGAGACTCTTACAGCGTAGCATCCAAAGAGTCAGAAAATTCTTCTGAAAGCTCCACAGCAGCTTGAGAAATAAAGGGATAATTATCATTCCTCTCTTTAGAAAAGCAGCTTTTTTTATACTTTAATCCCTTTTTTCCGCTTTCAGAGTAAAATAATAAGATTTTCATATTGAAGGAAGATGGTTTAAAAGATGAAATACCCATCATAGAGCAGTTGGAAAATTCTTAATGTGAAGTTGTAACTTCTTTCAAGTTTAGCATTATATTCACATTTATTTGTCCACTTTTCCCTTACTCCAAACATTTCCTGTCCGCTGCCTTCCATTCTTTGCCCCCTTCCTTCTTCCTGTGTATTTATAATTCACACAGAAAGAGTCAGTGTTCACTGTTTGTTCATTGTTTACTTACTAGAAGACACAAATGACTTTTAACTACTGTTATGCAGCTTTTGAGAGTTTAAATATCTGAATTGTGTTGTAAGGGCCATTATTTCGTAGCAGTACTGCTAACAAAAAACAGTAATATCTGAATTTCAGTTAGCAAAACATTCTCAATCTAACCAGGCTTAGAAACTTGTTCAGGTTCTATGGGTGCTGGTTGTGTCTTCTGCATAATATGAATAGGTTCTTTTCATGTGTGATTTTCCCACCATCTTTCTCCAACAGAACTACATTTTGGCAGTGTCAGTCTATCATGATAACACATCTGTAAGTGTACAATAAAATATCAGAGAGAAAAATTTCTTGTGCAGAGGCCATTTCAAAATAAACTGCCATCCAAAATAAAGTATTTACCCCATTTCTTCTCCACTTTTCTTTGTAGATAGTAATTGTCCAGTTTGGAGGAAAACCATTTAGCTGTTCTCCCCTGCAGCTTGATCAGTGGATGTGGTGTGTATTTATTGGATTAGGAGAACTTGTATGGGGTCAGGTAAGCATCTAGGAACATGCAAAATATCTTTTGTTTTTATAAAACCAGTCAAAGACCAATTTTTTGCCACAAGTCACACAAAAAAGCAGCTCATGATCCTACTATCCTGTTTCCTTCTCAGAACATCATATTTCCCACATGCTGAAATACAAATAGCTCCCTAACTACTTCGATCATTTTATCCCACTTTTACTTTTCATTCCTGTTAATTTTCATATCTTTTCTTTCCCTAAGCAGGGTATGCTATCACAAAAATCTATGCTATCATCCTCAGTGCTCTGTGTGAAAGACATTTGATTCACAACATAAAAACATAAAACCATATAGCAAATGCACTATAAGCTTCTTATAGACTACTCAAAGCAATGTCTGTTTGGCCATGACAAATTTTTGAAAGTGAAAAGACATTCCAGTGCTATGTCAAACCACACCTTGTAACCTGCATAAGACCAAGCCTAGTGCACTTAATATATGCCTGCAGCAATCCTACTTTTGTGTACAAAGGACAGAGGAAGGGGTGACAGAAAAAGGAAATTTTTCCTAGCATAGTTGCAGAAAAGTGCAGATTAATTCACATCATTTATGAATTCTGCTAAAACCTGTATCATCATTAGGTGATACCAGGTTATATATACAAGTAAAAACAAGTGTCCATGTGATAATTAAGTTACGTGATTAGCTGTCATAGTACAGTTACAACTAGTTTTGTTAAAGTATTACATTTTATATATAAAATTGGATTACAAATACTAGTAGTTTTTTTTATCTTTGAATATACTTTTAATGTCTTTAAGTGGGTGCTACCTGACACATCTTAAGAAGTGCAAAAAATATTAACATTTTGCTTCTCAGATATAAAGATGCATATTGATCTGCTCACTTGCCAAGCAAGAAATTGCTGATGCAGTTGAATACAGAATTGATTTGATTTGATTGAATTGTAATGAGTAAATTCTAGCTTTCAAAACTGATGTATTACGGGAAAAAAATTACTACATTAGCTTTTTGGACAGCTGGACCTTTGATTTTTTTTGAAGAATAAGCTCAATTAGAACAGCTTTTAATACACATTTTGCTGAAAATCACCATTATTACATTGTGCTAATGTAGTTACCATCTGAAGGTGAAATTTGAGTTATTAAGATACATGGGGAGAAAAAGGAGAGCTATGTTCTATCACACAATCAATACCAAATATAGTTGTTTATATAAATGCTGTCTTGCAAGCCCTTCATCCACATCAGTTTCATCAGATATCAAGTAGCCTCTCTCTATAGAGTACTGGCATCAAATTTTTTGAAAGCTGGGAAGCTGTAGCAGTTTCAGTAAGTACTGCAATGACTAGCACTTACCTTTTATTTTTTCACTCCTGCTCTGTCTTTGCTTGTGTCATGATAATTCATTCTTTTTTCAAGCTCTTCAGGTTTTCCAGCACAAAGTACATTTTAAAAGGTTTCATAGCTTTGGACATTTCTTTATCTGTCTTTAGCAGTGATGTAATAAAAGTAGTGTTGTGGCATACAAAGTTCAAGGAGACCATCAGCAGAATCAACAGTATGTTCTCATCCTGAAAATATATGGTGCCTATTCATCCATTTTCCTCCAACTGTCAGCTGTATGGAGTACCTTCAACACTCTTATTTTCAGAATAACTTAGCTTAGTCTGTGCTGTGGCTTATGTGATCTGGACAATACCACATGCTTGACAGCTGCAAAAATCAGTATGACAAACTGAGTAAGACTTTCATCCATCAGACAGCAACTTCCATGGCTGTTGAATGTCCGAGAGCTGTAGTTTCTGATCTGCTTATTCTTTTCTTTTCCAGCTGACTCCATTTTTATCCACACATCTAGGCTTCAGTGACTGCTCACTGCTGAAACAAAAGAAAAAAAAAAAAAAAAGAAAGCAGGTTTTTTTTTACTAGACGTGTCTAATAGTTAATTTTGAAGTAGAATTTTTTTAGCATTTAAAATGTTCTAGCTAATGTCATGTTTAAATGGCCATCTGTATTTCTATTCAAGCTGACAGAAGAAATCAGAAAAAAATGAGTACCCAAGATAACAACATTGAAATTGATCCACAGTAATCATATTCAACACCCTCTTAATTTGCTATTTACAATTCCTTAAGATCGGTAGCAATCTCTTCTATTAATTACTTCCAGTGACCATTTAGATAGCCAAACTGAATAAGAAAATGGGCTGACATAAACTGAATGTATTAGCAATGAGGACAGAGTAAGAGAGAACTCTACAAAAAGTCCAACAGGAAGATACTCAGAGGTGCACTGTTAGAAACCTTGTTTCTGTTACATGCTGAGAAAACTATTTCGGTTTTCCAAATCAAAGGGAAACGGAATACCTGAACCAATTTTAGTGTGAAGAGACTTATACGCGTGAGATGCAACTGATTGTCAGCTTACATTAACAGCCATTAGTCTGTTTTCAGTCATCAGAAATGCCTAAACACTAATTGCAAAGTATCAATCTTGTTTAGTTTCCTGTAAGTAATTACATTCAAATACCCACATCCCCCCTTAGTTTTTTTGAGGAAGGACAATGCTTCTTTCCAGCCATCAGCTTGCTCCATAGCCATGTATTTCTAATGCGGTCTAGCAATGCACATAATGCTGATTGTTTATAAAATGGAGTTGTATAAATGTAAAGTACCATAATGAATACGCAAACCTGAAGCTTTTCTGGAAGATTAGAAATCTCATTAAAATATCAGAATTCTTTTACAATTAGCAGCTTATTGCTTTTGCTATTGAATTATGTTGATGTTTTCAGCAGCACTTTGTAATTTTAGGTCATTGCAACCATCCCAACAAGTAGGCTAAAGTTCTTAAAGGAGGCAGGGCGGCTCACTGAGAAGGAAGAGGTTCCTGAAGAAGAACTCAATGAAGATGTTGAAGAAATTGATCATGCAGAGAGAGAACTTCGACGAGGACAAATACTCTGGTTCAGAGGGCTTAACAGAATCCAAACCCAGGTATGCTAAAAAGTAAATGCCCCCATTTTCTAGACGTAATCTGTGATTAAGACAAGCTAATGTTATAGAAATCCACAGAGAACACTCCTATGCTGGAACAATGGTACTTGGAAACTGCGTTATTGTTTTCAAAGGAGCACTGCGTGAAATAGTAAAACAGGTGAACTTTAAAATGTGAGTGTATAGTGGGAACTGTAAATATTATAAAAATATTCAAAATAGGAATACCTTTTTTGACTCTACTGTGTTTTTCTACTTCAGTGATGGCAGCTGAAAAAACAGTGCTACTTGGAAAATGCTACCTTACGCTATTGCTAGCAAAACGTTACAAAGGCTTTCTAAAACATGCCATTTTATTTTCCCTAAAATGTATTGTTGGTCCCACTCATGCAATAAGGGTAAAATATTTGGATTAGAAGTGTAAAGCATCCCTTTTTTTAAAAAGATAAAATATGTTACTGTCATGTATTTACAGATATTTATACATATATACATTCATATGTAACAGGAATTAATTTGTCTTCCCTTTAAGGTCTTGAAAAATCTGATTCTGGATTTGAAGTAGTAAGGGCTTAAGCATCCACTGAATACTGAATTGTGTGCATTGGCTGCTCTGGGTGCTATTTTAGAATTACTTTTTTCTACTTTTCCTAAATACAAAAATCTATGATTTTTTTAAAGCAAAATTAAAGGATTCAGATGAATGGTAAAAATACTAAATACTAAATACTTGCACTGAGCCGCACTATGAAATTTAGTGCAGTTTAGCCTAGTAAGTAAAAATGCTAGAAAAGTATTTGAACTATTTTGCCTTTTCCCTTGCAGTGAAGTAGAATCTTTTAAAGCACTTTAGTCTAACACCTGTGCCAGCTTGCAGAAGAGAGCAACTTTTAAAGACATGTATTCCCCGTGATATCAGATGGTTCCATGAGTGTTTTGCATAATACTTACACAAAAGTAAGAGGTGAATAGTTAAGAAAATACTTATTATTTGAAGAATCTTTTAAAGAATATTTACATCTAAGAAGATTTTGAGTTTGACATTTTGGTCTTAATTTGAGATGGATGGTACTTTCTCCCGTTTTCCATGTACAAATGGATACTTTTTTTTTTTTTCCCGGAGAAAAGATGCAGCCATGCCTTTTAGATGGTCAGGTCTACTCAGCGCATCGCAGCAAAAAGAGAAGGGAAGGAGGATGGAAACTGCTGTTAGAGAAAGGTTAAGCATTTTGGTAAATTCCTGAGCAGCTGATGATTAAAAATGGATCTTCAGCTTTAGGGTTATGTGTCTTGACTCCTGTCTTGAGTCAGGAGCACTCATCAGCAGAGAAAATTCAAATTGTCATAGTTCTCTTACTTAAAAAGGTACAAACCAGTGCCCAGGTAGTGGTGATCGTTTTGGAAAGATGACCTCTAAATGTGCATTCTTTTCTTCCTGATGGCTATAGGAGGAGTGTTGCCTGTTGGCATTTCTGTCAGGATGTCTTTCTGGTTGTGGTGAGTGTAAACAACTACAGAAAAAAGGAAAATTACATCCTTTCAGCTCTTTTTCTAGTCTGAGAGGTAGCTTTTAGTTCTTCTGCATATCTTTGTCCACTTAATTCACAGAAAAATTATTCTTTTACACTATTTAAAACAAAATGAAATTAATTACGTTTCTTTCCTAACATCCATCTTAGTTTCTGTTCTGCTCTTAGTTGTAGATGTATCCTTGGTAGGATGTACTACTTCCTCTCCTACCAAAAGGCTCTGTGATTTTTTTTCTCATTTTGTTCATTCAGTGACTTTGATTTTTACATTTACATTTCACATCTGTGGAATGATAATGGAAAAAGGAAATGGGCCAAGAGACTCAAAAAGAGTCCCAGTTGCAGTTTTCAGATGTCTGCTGCAGAGCGATGAACCTATGTACAGGTCAAATTAGATACCTTGTTGGATGGACCTTGAGCGCATTTTGATGTGCTGCGTGTTGCAGCCCATCCAAATGAATTCATACACTTGTACTACGTTTCCCAGGAAGCCATCTAAAGAAGAGCTGATGGAAGAAGATGAGGATGTCTGTAGCATCCTTGGGGAGCTGGAGGATTTGCAAGAATCCTCTGATGTCTAATGCACTTCTGGAGATGCAAAAAAAGAAGGTAGAGCATCCCCTCACTTTATATATATAAGAGGATGACAGCTAAGATTAGGAATAAGCTGTAGACTCAAATCTCAACAAATCCAGTCTCAACCGTCATGCACTTGTGCTGTGTAATGGGTGATGTTTATTTTGGATTATTCTCTGTTCAGACCGTTGTGGACATACAGCTCCAGCATTCAACAAAAGCCTTCACTCCTAAGAAAGTTACAAAGAATCTATGAACGTTTTTGTTTGTTTTTCCTACAGATAACTAACAGATTTCCAATAAAACCTCATCCAAACTGACAAAAACTTTACAGTAATACAGACTTTGGCCTGGTTGGTTTTTTTTGTTTTTTTCTTTTTGATTGCACTTTCAAAGCACAGGTTTCTCTAGGCGCTAGAGAAAGAATTTCCATTGCTGATTCTTCACACTGAGATGCCAGATCCATCTCTATTTCATGCTGCATGTGCATGAATTTACGTGAAAGAAAAGTGCATGAAAAATGCACACACTGAAGTCACAGACACTGACTGTGTATTTCTGATTTTGTCTACTTCTGTTCGTTTGCATACTTCACTGTCTTACAGTTTATGTCTTCTCTGGATGAACACGTACTGTCTTCTGATTGGCAGAGTTTCATTACTGCACAGCACTCTCAGAAGACTGGTAACGCCAAGTTTCACACATGGCTCATTCTAATTACAGAAGCTTCATGAAGATACAAAAATAGTCTCAAATTTCATTAATGACAGGTCTTTTCTCTGCTAGTTTTCAGCAGTGATTTCCAGTTCTTTCTTGCAGTTCTCAAGAATTCTTCATTCTGAGTTCCACGAGTTCAGTGCATCTTTTTAAGTTGCATACTGACAAGTTTCTGTAGTTAGCTCACATTTCAGTAGGAAAAAATTTACATATGGAAGTTTGAAAACTTTTCAGGTTATATATTCAATTTTCATAACACAAGGGCTCTGTCCTCCCTCTGCTTCTTTCAGTCTGTAATTCAGAGTCTGTGTTATCTACTTAATGTGGCCAAAAACAGGAACTTACTAAATATTAAAACTGTTTTGAGAGCAAAAAACAAGACAAAATAGTTTTATAAGTACAGATGCCTTCTTAATTGCTACAGAAATACTTTTAATTTTTTTCAGAAATTAATGTGTCTAGAGACTGCTATGGAAAAAAAATATTTTTCTTTGGATATTCAATATAGAGATTTTCATTCATTTCTGAACTAAAACCTTCCTAAGCAAATGCAAACACCACGGCAATGACAGTCACTCCCAGCAAATGCTTCGAAAGTTAAATAAAAAGCTAGTACCTCTTTTTTTTTTTTTTCCATTTTTTTTTCATTTCATATAGTATTTAATACAAAAAGATTGCTGGAGACCACATAATTAGAATGGAAACTGTTTTATTTAATGCCAATTAAAGTTTATTTTGCTTTACTAATACTAAAGCAAACTGTTTATCAGAGATTGAGCAAAGCCAATTTCTTCTTATTCTTAAACAAATAAAATAAATTTTGGATGGAGTTACTGATCTCCTAAGGTCATTAATAACATCAGAACAGCTTGCTGAAACTCTCTTCCATGTTAAGGATCAGAAGATTTTGGCACACCTATCCTGCCAGGACCATTCTGCTGTGCTAAGATCCCTTTTTATTCTTTTTTAAACTGCTAATCTCTAACGTGTTTATTAACTGTTTGTACATCAAAAATAGCATGGAATTTAAAGAAAGATGAGAGAGAAAAATTACAGTATGCTTTTTTTTTCTTTGCCTGAAGGCCTGTAATCAAAACATGATGACATTCTCTGTTCTGTTAGAAGTTTTTCAAACATTTTCTGATGTAGGACTTAGCCTTTGCTTTCTCATTTTTAGCAATATGAATTGTTGTAAATAAATACAGTCTTCTGTAATTACAAAATCATCTCATTTTAAAATGCACTGTTTACTTATTTATTTATTTGGGCAAACTCTTTCTTTGCTGTTTTCTGATTTTGAAAGATAAACTCCTTAGTAGACCAGGATCTTCTCCTTCATTCACTTGAGAAGAGAATGCATTCCTGTATGTTCCACTTTTAGGATTCTAAAATGGTTGTCATCTTTTTCCTCTGCATTCACTCCATGAAGATCTGTAGTAACTTTTTTTCAGGAGAAAAATTAAATTACACACCAGAGAATTTTTGTTCTCTGGAGAAACTATTAAATACAGATCTTCCCTTATCTTTTCATTCTTATGCTAGAGTCTTTCAGTTAACAGGAAAGGCTTTTATACATCCCAAAATGCCCTTTGGCTTTGGATCTACCACCTTAACCTTCCACAGTGCAGTTCATGCTCTCAGTGAGTGCTTTCAAAATCTTTCTTGAAGTTCTCTTCTGAAGAGTGCTCTGTTATGTATGTCAGATAATGAAAACCCAGGATCTTTAATGTAATTCTGCTTTTGTATAGTAAGCATTTCAGGTAAGTATTTAACATGCCTTCATAAATAACCAGTGCTTTGAACCATATGCTGTTTTCAAAATGCCACTGATTCACTTGCATTCTTGTTCCAAATGGCAACTCATTCCATATTATATTTTTATTTTTTTATTTTTTATTGGACATACAGCTCAAAATAAGGCTGCTGCAGAAAACACAGAGAGCAAAGCTGCAGAATGTTGTAATGACTGCTTTAAACTGCATATCCATCAGTGTGCACATTAAACGCACGTTGTATTTAGGGGTCTTCCTGGAAAAAAAGAAAAAGGGTCAATGAACAAGGCTGCTTCATGTTTGTCTAGCAGAAGTACAGCATGGTGATCAAAGCAATAACCTTTGATTCTTTTTACAGCTGGCTTTGACATGGTTATTTCTGTGAAAACATAAAGGAAAATAGTGATCTCCAAAGAATAAGCTAATGGGGGGGACGCATCCGTATCGTTAGAGATGAAGCCATGTGAATGTATTTATTAGTAAGACTGGCTGCACTAGAAAATGTTACCAAATTTATTATAATGCTTTCAACTTAGAAAATTTAGGAGGGCTTATACCAAGGTTTGTGCTATTTAACTTGATAAATATACCGCTTTACCTTTTCCCAACTACTTTCTAGGCTGTAACTCTTAAAAAAATCTGTGTTGCAAGACAAAATCTGGAAACATTGGGCTTCTTCATACAACTAGATGGGTGAAATCTGCTAACGGATCCCGTTCCTGTTTTGTTGTGTTGTGGTTGTACGATTGTAACAAAGAAGACATTCTGTTTAGGGATTTGTAGGTGCTATCTACTGCCAATCCTTGGCTTTAAAAACATTGGGTATATAGAGCCTGCTTTATACTGTGTAATGCTGGTGACATCGTGAAATACCTCCTTTTTAACTCGTATTCTGAGTTCATGGTTAAAAGTACTCAAGGAAGATATTCAGCGAAGACACATCTAACAGTGGGTTACAATATGCATATGGAAATGACAAGTAGAAACTGGTCGTTCTGTTTACTGAAATATTCGGTCCTGTTCAGTGCAATTTTGTGTTTAATTTTAAGCACATATAAATATAAAATATTAATATTTTGTTCTGTAATTAGAATAGACCATCATTCATTGTCACTGCTTAATTTATACAAACTTTCATTATAGAAAAAAGTAAAATATCAGAATATTTCCCATTTTATCAAGCTAGTATGCTGACAACCTTGGTTTTTTTGTAGACAAAATTAATTTGCATAATAATTGCAGACAAAATATTTGTAATATTTCTATAGGCTTCCCCCCCCAAATTAAATAACTGAACTTTCCTCCCCCTGGAAGAATGCCTAAAAAGCAATAGCAAAGCAATTTTATTCTCAGTAAGAAAAAGTAGACGTTAGCTAATTCAACTATTCAGTTGTATTCACTTTATTTACATATAAATAAAATTGTTTAATTTTGCAATATTTTTATATCAAATATGCTAATTGTTTGAACTCATGCAGCTTCATTGCCTCCTATCAAGCTGCTTCATTTTATTCAGCAGAAAAACTGGACCATTTCATATTTAAAACGTTAAGGACTCTAAAAAAGTATTTACTTCCATAGAAATTAAACTGCGTGCACGATTGATTTATTGTTTTTCATTATTATTCCTGTTAGTTTTGCAACTGTATCCATACTTTAAGCAACTTGTCTCATTCTTTCCTCCGTTACAGATCGAAGTAGTCAATACTTTCAAGAGTGGCACTTCCTTTCAGGGGGCTCTAAGGAGACAGTCCTCCGTCACAAGCCAGACCCAGGATGTAACCAATATTTCTAGCCCTAGTCACGTATCGTTATCCAATGCTCTTTCCTCTCCTACCAGCACATCTGCTGCTGCGGCTGGGCGTGAGTGTGTATTCTTAATGCATCAGATCTACAGAGATGCCAACTTACGTAGCAGTCATTTGAGACTGAGCTACTTTGCACTCTCCCATTTTGTCATGTGATATTAGTTTACACGTACCCAGACACACGTAACTGGATTACTTTGTGTACAGTAGATGCTCTTCATCATTCACTGCAGGTTAATGTTAACTTACTGTTAGAGCAGTAGTTTTTATCCTGTGTATGGAGACTCTGAGGTTTCTGTGTTATATTTTCCTAATGCCATTCTATGTTTTTCTACTGCTTACAAAACATATTCTCTAAAAATTACTGTGAAAATCTTACATTAGACAAAAAACAAACAGAACAGCTCCAGCTTATCAGGTAAATGATCATTACATTTGGAAGACTGTGTATAATGTAGGTCACTCATGTTCAGTGAATATGTACTCTACTTGGCACAGGTACAGGAATGAATAAAGAAACAGAGAATCTGGCTTATGATGAAAGGCTAAAAGATTATGGTTTACATGAATTATGAAAGAAAAGCACCTCTAAATTTGACGAGAGATAAGCATTAAGGAAGGAGGTAGACAGGCAAGTTAAAGGACAGTATCAGTGCAACAAAACCATTTGCTAGAAAAACTGTATTCTTAAATGCTGAAATCTTGAAACGGCTCTCCTGTAGATGTAAGTGAAGCATCTAGTGAAGAGAGAGTGAACAGAAAAAAAACTCTGACAGGACTACTTCACTGAAACATCTTCATCTGTCTGGGAAGACTCTTAGACATCTAACTTTGTTTGGCATTAAACAAATATTTAAATGTATAGAACTTACTTTATAAACTTGTCCCATACTTTACAAAATCATATAGTATATGCCTGTTGCAAGAAGTTGGCCAGGGGGAAGGCAGACAGAGAGAAAGCAGATGACAGTGGAAAGTAATGCTCCAGAGCCCCTGGAGAAGGAAAGGAAGCTTGACCTTTCCTTTCAGTTTGAGTGCAACCTCTTCAGTATTTGAACATCAAGAATAAAGAAATTTTAGACATGCATTAGAACCTTCGCTGGAATTAAATATCAAAGGAGAGACTTTACTTTTGCTAAGAACCCAAAAAGTCATTAAGGTTCTAGCTTTGATGATTTGCTCTTAGAGAAAATTTTTATCTTTTTCTGTCTTGGTGAAAGTTTGTCCTCCTGACTTTTACTCCAACTGCATCAACAATTTCAGGGTAGCAGCATTACCGAGTGAAGCAAAGGCTGCATGCCACTGCTGTGCCACAGGCACTACAACCTCCTACAGAGAGGTCAGAGCCTGAGGTGCCTCATTTCACACCAAGCTGTACACAGAACGCTACCGACAAACCAAGCTTTTCATTCAGGGAGAAAGTCTTTAGTAACATTTCTGCATTTGAGCAGAAAGCAGAGAACAGCTCATTCTGATGTGGGAAATGTTTCATCAATATCCTGAAGCCAGTGGTCTGAAAGGATAAATCTAGCAAATATAGAGCAGTTAATTTATCTTCCTCCTTTTCTCTCCAATGCAGCAGATCAGCTAAGAATTGAATAGTGCATCCTGAGAAAGGACTTACTAGGTTATGAGCTGAAGTTAATTAATAAGGGAAGTGTAGTCTGCTATGGTGTTTGCTGTCAATTTGAGAAAATAAAACATTTCTACAGGGAAAAAAAAAAGACTGAATTATTGAGCTATGCAGGGATATGCATCTCCACTGCAGAGAGTAAGTACAGATTGATGCTTTTAAAATGATTCTCAACTGCTGTGTGGAATTTCGCTAGAATTTTATTACTGCAATGTAATGATTTTTCACTATTAAATTGATGTGTCCTTCAAATTATAATCCTTAGGGAATGTTTTGACTTATTAATACAATAACACAAATTCAATGACAGTGAAAAAGAGAAGGTTTATTCCCAAACTGCTTCCATTGTAAATCTCTTCTAGAACCTGGTGAAATTTTTTGAATCCAAATTTAATTGAAATACTTTCTGGGATTGGCATTTTCTGAGAAAATATAGGCTTACACATCAACTCCTTGCTTGAAACATGGAGCTAAGGACTCAGATGCTCAGAATAAACAAAACCCTAAATATGATTTGTTGGGTACTTACACATAAATATGTGGGATGAGAGGAATAATAAGATAACTGTACCTCTGATTTTGAAGCCTCTCTTGGAACTTTTTAAAATATTCCGTATGTGGATCTCACACATCAAGGGAAAACCTTAAAGGTACAGCAAAGACAAAAGGGCATAATTCTTGAGGGCTGCTAGTATGAGATGCTGTTCATTTTCAGAGAGCTGCTGCTCAGCACACTGCACCTATAAGGATACTTCAGTTATCATTTTGGGTGTCCAAAATACAGACATTCTGCAGAAATAAGAGCATCAAATGGTGCTCTGTCATAAAAATATATAAATCTAATTTTACCGAGCATGTATGCAGTTCTTTACTACTTGTATAACCTTTTAATGTAACACTTTGTTGCATCATTTCTTCTGCATAGTATCAATTTGGAAACAAAAATCTTGTCATTTTCTATTGTTGCTGGGCAGGCTAATGTTTGATTCAAATAAACGTTCAGATTTATAGGTTATTAATAACCACACGATGTTACTGCATGAGTAAAGATACAGCTCCTTCTCAAATGCTGCCTATCTTCAGTAGCTGTAAAACAGGTTAGCAAGCTATTACCTGCATCACCTTTCACAGGATTGCAGAATGCCTTAACTGAAAGTAATTTGTATACAAAGAAATACTTACTGTGATACTAAAACTTCCCCAGTTAAGCTGATATTGTTCAGATCTCAGTATTTCTGCTGAGAACAAATCCTGTATTTCTGGATGTCAGCGTTAGTTTATAATAAAGTCTGCCTTATGAATGCCTTATCACTTCTGAAAAAACCTTATGGCTTTAAACACAGTGAAAGCTTTTGCAAGAATAAATCTGGCATTTTATGTACTGTAGTAAAAGTAGAAGATTTATGCAAGTTCAAACTAAATATGTAATTCATATGGACACCATTAAACTACAGCAATTGAAAACGTGAGATTAAATCTGTATTCAACGTGGTCATGGCCATTTTCTCAGATTCTGCTGTATCATATGCATCAACACACACATATATACCCAGTCTGATGTCATCGTTACAGGTTACATGACAGTGTCAAAAGTGGTTTTAGATACCAGGCTGAGCTTTACCAGCTCTTGAGGATTGAAAGTAAAATTGCTGAATTTAAGAACGTGTATTTCCTTCTACTTTTTATTTTGAGGAAGCAAAATCAGATGATGTGGAGCAATGACTGTTTTTTTTTTTATTTTGGAAGCTCAGAATTTAGAACACCGAAGGTCAGCTTATATGTAAAATTAGGTATATGCTTAAAACCTTTGCTAGTTCATGGCTTAATTAGGCAGAGGATCTAACTGTACACAAAGTAAACAAGTTATTCTTTATCTATTTTTACCTAGTTGTCAAATGCTGTTTGTGTTTTCAACAGGCAATTCCTTCAAGAAAATATGGTTTAAAATTTGTCAGTGCTCTTTGTTCTTCCCTCCGTTCCCATATAGGCAATATAGTTAATAATGTTCCTAAGTGGAAGAAGCTGCAGATCTCTTTACAGGAAACAAACAAACAAACAAAAAAAAACATACAAAAAACTCTTTCTTTAAAGTTTATATAAAACAGAAATATTGTTAGCTATAGGATACATCTGGGGAAAAACAATCAAAAGAAAAACTACACCAACAAGCAGCCTCCCACACCATAAGCCTGCTGCAGTTTTTGTGCCTTTGGGTTCCTTTGGATTTGTTCCATTGAAGGCTATCATATTTGGCTGAGATTTTTAGAAGTGGATATTTCACTGAATCAAACTTTTTGCGATATTAACATTAGCAGCAGTGGCATCAAACAAGCCACTTGTACAGATGACACACAAACACACAGATGCAGTGATGACTCAGGAGTTTCTAGCAGGCAATTAAAATCTCTTCCAAATTATCACAAAATATTCTTAGTGTTTTTCCATCACACAGACTTCTTTTTTGAAAATTTATTTTTAAGCGTTCTCCAGCCAAGAAGAAAAAAGTAACTGGAAAAAAAGCATAGCATTATAAAGGCTGGGGTCTCCCATTTCTTAGAAGTGGCTGATCCAAGGTGTTTTTCATTGTCGCTTTAATTTGCAAGTACCTGAAATTGCTCAGACTCACCAAGAAGCAATAACTTTAGGTGGAAGCTTTTGGTCTGCTGCTCTTGCCTCAAGAGCAGGCATTAAAATCTGCAAATTATGCCAGAAACTTCATCATAGAACATTCAGAAATCTTGATTCTAGTGCTTAGTATGACATTTTTATTAATAAAGATTTTTAAAGGGAGAGTTTGGCTTAGCTTTTTGTGATCTGTTGTGCATGAAAATCAGATTACTCTTGTACTGAGAAATTATCACTGTTCAGCAGCCTTTTCTCATCTATTATTTCTTACTTAGTTAGTTTCCTATAAATGTAATGATTGAGCTGGACAGCCATTACAACTGAAACTCAAGAGGTTCTTTGTTTGGATCAAATTTTCTCATGAAGAAAAATGGGAGCTTTTTTTTTTCATGAAAAACATCTAATTTAATAAATGTAAAGCAAATTTACTGTCCAATAGTGATCTAAATTCAGATCACAGATGGTTAAGTTGGTGGGCAAACCAGCCTGACTGAAACTGCCATATGTTTTCCAGAGCAACATGGTCACCTGAGGAAATGGAGCAAATAGAACATGAAACCTGCAGCTAAAGTGATGTTTATAAAAGTTTCAGCATTTAGGGACATTATTAATCTGTTGTCTGACAGAGGCAGAAGTATTATGGTAGAACTTGCAAGTTTCCGCTGGTTATCACAAAGATTGCCCCAGTCCACTGGGATGTCCAAAATCTTAA